TCACTTATTTGCATCAGCTCAACTACTTAGCATGTGATTTCTAGATGGTACTGACGCGCTAGATAAACTACTTAAAAGCTATTAGAGGACGAGAACTCAAGACTATGTCATAACAACTATCTAACTCGACTTCCATATTTGGGAGACTCAAGGTGTTAAAACGATATCGATCTTATGAACTGTTCCCAAGTCTCTGCAAACTAATCCCAAATTATACTATAGCCCAGAACTTTCAAAAATATGCGTTTTTTTATTATGTTAGAAAAAAAGAGAAAAAAAAAATATAAATAAAACACCAAAGGTTTCCCTCCCCCAGACTTAAAACAAACATTGTCCTCAATCAAAGGACATAAATATAAAATAAGAGTGAGAGAAAGGAAGGAACACACCCGAGGAGTCAAGGTAGATAAGTGATCACATAGGTATCCTTTCCCAAAAAGAGGTTTCCTGCGGTCTCTTCTTCCAAAGTGGGGAGTAACTTTGGATAGCATCCATCGCCCTTAAAATTTGTATTAGTTCCTTCGCCTTTTATTCCAGGATCAAATAAGAATCTTACTAATTTCCTTTCATCTTCAATCAAGGTCCATCCAATTCTCTTCTTATGTTTCTTCAAAATCTGAAAAAGCTTATTTTCTTTATAAAAACCAAGGTTAGAATAAATTATGACCAAAAGCTTTTTATTCATATCTAAATAAGCATAATTCGAATTCTTATAAAGCGGTTTAAGCTCTAAGGGGAGAGGTTGTTCAATGGATGGTGAGGTTGGGGCAGCCGTGATGTCAAGAGCTTCAGCTGCATAAACAACTTCATCTGCATAAAAAATATCACCCTGCACGGCAGCATTAATCTCAGCACAAACAGAGCAAATGTTAGTGTCGGTACATGAATCACAAGAGTAAGTATCATCAAAATCTGCTAATGATGGAAAATCAAAATACAATTCAGAATAAGTATCATCAACTAAATTAGAAGGAAACTCTTTTGGATTCACTACTGTTTGGGCAGACGATTGGTTTGAATCTTGAGCTTGCTGCATAGCATTCACTATAGTGGCAAGCTGTTCAATCTGTGTCTGCAAAGCTTGAAGACTTGAATCTGTTTGTTGCTGAAACTGAAGATCATTTATAGCCATTTGCTTGACAAGGTCCTCTAGTGAAGGTTCAGAAGGTGTAGAGCACATAATTTGGAATTCATTCATATGCTTATTCGGATCCTCACCTGCAAATCCATTAAACCTTGACAACAAGTGTATTAAACCAGATTCCGATTCGAAAGGAACAACAACATCATCATATTCAATACACAAGCTATTATAATTTACATCAGGGGCAACTAATTGTCTTAAGGTTCTATTATCAGCCATTTTAAAATCAAATTCAGTATCCGAAGCAAACAAGTTATGCAGATAGTCAGACTCAGACTCAGACTCAAACACAATGATGGAAAACAATTAATTAAATTTCAAAAAAAATAAAATAATATCAGAATTAAACTAATTAAGCAAAATAACAATTATAAGAATTTTTTCGATTTTTTTCGACTCTATGAAAACAGTAAAAAATTCATTAAAAATAGAAAAAAGGATTTTTTGGCGATTCTGAGGGTGGATTCCAGGTATTTCTTTGGAATACATGGAGTAATGACCGGACGGTTTTTCTGCTTCTCGTAGGCAAACCAGTTTTACGATCGGACACAATTTTTCCAAAAACAGATTTTTTACGATTTGGACTGTAAAACGCGAATTGGACGAAACCGCGAGGAAACTAAGGTCTAGAATCGAGGATACTAACTAACCCTATGACTCTAAAATTGATTAATAACGACAAGAATCCCCGGCAACGGCGCCAATTTGATCCGCGGTCGCTCGCGGATCAAAAACGAGTAATTTTAGGAAAATGCAGTACAGCGACAGTGACTCAGAATATCGTCTCACAAGGATTCTTGTAGTGATTGACCAATAAAGTAACAATTTATGGGGGTTTGAATTTTGATTAAGAGAAAAAAATACTGAAAATAAGTGATTATAAAAAAATAATTATTAAAATAAGTCAATCTACTGTTTTCGGTTCCGGCTTATCACGGGTTTCTACCTTACCAATTTCCTAAGCGGCTTCGATCTCTATTCCATTCCTATGTCAATTGACAAGCGCAAAAGACATAAACTAGATTGACAATCCTATATTCCGAATTAAGCAAACGGATTAAGTTTTCGTAAATTAAGCAAACACGAATTATAAACGCGAATTAACGACAAAACGACGTAACGGCGAATAAAAGTTAAGGATGCAATCATACGAATTTAATCAAAACAATTCTATAAACTAACAGATTAAGCAAATGCAATTCATAGAATAGTATTGAAAGAGAAACGAATTAAATTGATAAAGTATAAACCTCAAAGCGTTGGGACGCGATTACAGCATATTGACTCTTTGGGATTAGTCCTCCATTCGAATAGTACAAGCTTCCAGATATTTTTTTCGTGAATAGTGAATAGAATTTTTTGCTGTAAACGAGGTTTCCCCTCAAAATAAAACAATGGATTCAGTTCATAACCCAACTGGGTCAAAAACATAATCCAGACCCAAAACAAGATCAAAACTAAAACAGAATTCTAATGCTGTAACTTGAAACGAAATTCTGGAATTTTGAGCTCCGAATCTGACTTCGACTCCAACACGAAAGTCGTAGCTCTCTCTCTTAGCTTTCTGGCGATTTTTAGAACGCCTCAAACGGATTCCCGAAACTCCAGTTATGATCGTTTCCGTGCAGACTGCTAAAACTGAAAAATAAAGTGCGAAAATTAAACCAGAGCAAAAATAAAATAAAATATAAAAACATAATAAAATATAAAAATAATTAAAATAAAGTAAAGAAATGCCTAAGTAAAAATATAGGAGAATATGCATAAAAATGCACTGATCAGTTATCGTAAAAGATTAAACCTTAAATACAATTTAATTCTATTTAACTCAATTAATTTTGTAATATAATTGATTATGTCTTTAAAATTAATTTTATTTAAAACTAACAATTATATCAAAAATTTCAATTAATTTAATATTCAAATTTATTATATTACTCACCTTTTTATCATTATATCAAAACATGTATCTATCAATTCTTCAAAACTATTTTTGAGCATCCCACAACTAAAATTCACCTTAAGAATATTTCCTTTCTAAACTTTGTAAACAAAAAAAGAAAAAACTATCACGTCATGTGTCGGACTGAGAGCCGTGTTACTGTTAGCCGACTGATTCTAAACGCCATTATTTTCGTCCTCACTTGTTTTTTATACGTTTCCACCACAACACGGTTTATCATACAGACAAAATTCACCTTTTTTAGCTACTTTATAACATGTTATTCGTTTTTATCTTTTCGTCCAATTAACTTCATTTTCATTCTCATTTCAAAATTACGAACCCTTGGAATCAAGAAAAATTAAATACTAGGACTGTGCTATTTATTTTAATATAAAAATAGTGAGTTTTCATTACGAGAGATTGATAAGATCGGACTTATTGTCTATTCTTATTTTTCTTTTCTTTACCTTTCATGAGAGACTTATTGTCTCTTTATGAGAAGCATTGCAAGTGAATGTGCATTTATTTTGCTTTGTTTGACAAAAACTAGATTACTTTCATGTTTTATGTTAATAAAAAAGTTGAAAGAAAATGTTGTGTTCCTATATTTCAAGGCCAAAATAGAGTTGTGATGTCACTTGTTGAAGAGTATGGATAAGGTCCATATCATTTTTGAGTGTGGGTAAAGAGAATTACAACACAAATTTTTTAATTTATTATAGTTAAATTTAAGAGCATCTTTGAGAGTATGCAAAAAGATCTAGAATAATATGATTTCACAATTTTTCATAATTAATTTATAATAAAAAGGATTTTTATACACATATTATATAATTAATTTAGAGTTAAATAAAATCTCTTAAAAAATTAAGTTGAGGTTAAATTCAATTTTTAATATAAATGTTCTAAAAAATTTGAGACGACTCTAATTAAAAGGAGAATGATAGAGAAATCAGTTTAGATTTCAAATTTAAAATCTGTTGAGACAACTCTATTTATATTTTAATTTAATAGAGTGAATATTCAAAAATAAAAAAATGACATATATTATACGATTATCTAGTAGTAGTATAACATTAATATTACCAAATAAATTATTATAAAATTAATATTACCAAATATAACACTAATATATCACACAAAAATATGAGTATTAAATTGTTTATTCTTGTTAGTCAATACTAACTACGAGTAGTAGTTATCTTCAATTTTGACTATGAAACTTAACGAGGTAACCTAATAACAAAAGCTACAATATAAAAATCTTCTTTCTCCAACTAAAAAGCAGAATCTCTATAGTCAACAAAACACCAAAATAAGCACTTTAAACGGCTTACACACATTTCTCTAACCGAATTTATAATTGATACACGTTCCTCTCTCCAACCTCTATATAATACACTGCAACACTTCACAAACTTCACACACAAATTCAATATCAAAATATCACTGTCTTTATCACAGAACCACCACGTTCTTCTTCTTCACTCTGTTTCTTAGGTTAGTTACCTTCTAATTCTCAAAATTATTGTTTTTTTTATTATTTGCGTTAAATCGTTTTTCAGATTATTGATACTTGTTTCTATTTATCAATTGGGTTATCAAAAAGTTATAATCTTTCCCATGAAATTTTATTGCAAGAGATTCTCAAACGCATTTCCTCTGTTTTGAACTCTGTTTTTTTTCACTCAAAATTGATATAAGTATGAGAGTTTCTAAAATACCCAATTCATTTTTTTTTGTTATAATTACTTTTATGAATCACCCAATTGAATTTTGATTTTTTTCTCAAATGGGTTGTAAAAAGTTTCATATTTTTAAATTTATTTATGCATGCTAGATTCTTAACAAGCTTTTTACTCTGTTTCAGATTCCTCTGTTTTTGATCCAAAGAAATAAACCAAATTCTCGATGGCCATAAAGACGATTGAATTGTTGAAAGGGTGTGCCTCACAAGAAGAGTTAATGAAAGTAATTGCTTCTGTGGCTTCAGATTTAGGAGATGCGATTGATGATGTGAGCACCTTGGAAGTGATTCCATTGAAAGGTGCAATGACCAATGAAGTTTTTCAGATAAATTGGCCAACAAGAAATGGCTCTGATCTTAGAAAGGTTCTGGTTCGATTGTATGGAGAAGGTGTTGATATTTTCTTCAATAGGGAAGAAGAAATTCAAACCTTTGAGAGTATCTCAAAGCATGGCCAAGGTCCACGCCTTCTTGCTCGCTTTACAACTGGTCGTGTTGAAGAGTTTATTCATGCCAGAGTATGTGATTCTCTTTTTCTTTTTCATATCTATAATTGAATAATAATCATAGTATCGACACCTCTGAAACAAAGGCGTGTCAAATATGACATATGATACACAGACACTTGTGATTGCGTTTTCATGTACCAGTCAGTGTATGTATGTCTGCTTCATAGATCAAAGTTAGCTTGATTTTGTATATCATTAAACAATGGTATGAAAATTATAAATTGAATTTAATCACAAGTCTCGGTTTCATTCATTCACAGCCACCTTTTTCCGGAGGTGTGGAGGCCTGTGTGAGGCCAAACGTAACATACCATCTCCCAAAATGAAGGCTACAATGAGTATTTGATTTTCATTTTTTAGCTTTTGAGATTCTATAATAAGTTTAAAAGTTAACTTACTTTATTCTTTAGTCAAAAAAGCTTTTCTTTTGCACTAATACTTCCTTTTTCCCTATTCTATTCCCTTTATCTTTTGGAGCAATTGAGTGTCTCTTAATTGTTTAGGATTAATTATTTAAGAACCAACTTTAAGAAATTCAATGAAATGGAATGGAATCATGTGCTCTCAGGTTACCATTCTTTTCCCTAATTCCTTTCTTCAACTTATTAAATCCATCAATAATTGACTATTTTTTAACAAACAAACCTTAAATACCTTTTTTGAATGTGACATGCTTTATAGAACTAATTAGCAAAATAGTTTATGGAGCATACTATGATATAATTCTGCATGACTTGCTTCTTACTTTTGTTTCTGGCTTTCTAGACTCTTTCGGCTCGTGACCTCCGTGACCCCGTTATATCGTCTCTGATAGCATCTAAGATGAGAGAATTCCATAAGCTTGATATGCCTGGTACAAAGAAGGCTCATATTTGGCAGCGAATGAGGAAGTGGCTCGGCCAAGCCAAAAGTTTATGCTCCCCAAAGGATGCAAAAAAATTCGGGCTAGAGAATCTAGACGATGAGATAAATATCCTAGAGAAGGCATTATGCGAAGGATATCAAGAGATTGGTTTCTGTCACAATGACTTACAATATGGTAACATTATGATGGACGAAGAAGCTCAATCGATCACTCTAATTGTAAGCTAGTTGTTATGTATTCTTTTTTTTGTCTTTTCAAAACATTACAGTTACTTGCATTACAGTACTCTAATTATTTTCTTTCTATTTTGATACAGGACTACGAATACGCGAGTTACAATCCTATTGCGTACGACCTCGCAAATCATTTCAGTGAAATGGCGGCCGATTACCATACCGAAACACCTCATGTTCTTGACTATAGTAAATATCCTGGTAAAGTTTCTATTCTTAGTCTTGCATTGCTGTTTTGTCACTATACGATACCGGGATACTAATTTGTATACGGTGAACCAGAACTCGAGGAGCGTCAAAGGTTTATTAGTGCCTATCTCAGTTCTGAAGGTAAGAAACCGAACAATGCTAAAGTGAACCAAGTTGTGACTGCCGTGGAAAAATACACTCTTGCAAACCATCTATTTTGGGGCTTATGGGGACTTATTTCGGTAAGCCGTTTTTTATAATGTTACTTATCCTTGTTAGCTAGCTAAGTATATAACTATACATTATATGCTCATATCATATACATTTTTGACTTGTAATTGCAGAGTTATGTGAACAAAATTGATTTTGATTACAAGGAATATGCAAGGCAAAGGTTTCAGCAATACCGGTTACGAAAATCTACTTTATTGGACACACCAACCATTGTTTCACAAAATGAAACTGTAAATGGTTCTCTACCACTAGCATCATGTGTGTGATGATTTCTTTTATGCCAAATTTCCATGGTTTAGTGAAGTTAGTCTTAGTTTTTTTTATGTACTGATTTCATAATAACTTCATAATAACTTTATGTATCTATAAATAATATATTGTCACTAACAATTTGCAATAAGTTTTTGACAATTTTAACTTCAATCTGATCATCAACCTATCACTTTTGAGATTGATGAAAAGAAATTGAGAATGAGTGTGTTTATGTTTTCTTGTAATAGTTTACTACTTTACTTGCATTTAGATGCGAGAAACTGTTCAGAAAAAATGAAGTCTCGGATTCAAGTGTTATATTTATCGTTTATGTCCGAATGTTTTCGGATTTTATATTTTGTGACATTTATATTTACTTCAATAGTCTTGAACTATATGTAACATGATATAACAAAACAGATTATTCATTATAAGGTGCATTAATCATAAACAAACTAAACACACATAAATTCACACACTCTATACTGCTTGAAACATGAGCAGTGAGGTGTATTAAGCAGTGTTGCAGGCTGATCTAGTGACTGAAGCTCCTAACCGATAGCGGCTGCTGTTCAGCTCCGGTGTTGTCGTCACGCAGCTTGACAAGCGTATAAGCTCCAGAACCAGCAAGCGCATCCAGCGTTGGCGCCACGGAGTATATCCAGATATCTTTGTAGTTTCCTGCTGCAATCGCTGGACCTAAGGTGCGAACCGGATTCATCGAACCACTACTCGTTGGCCTATCATTTGTTATATTATACTTAGAATCAAATTATTAAAACAAAGAATTCAAATCAGTTATGTCATAGAAATGGTTTGATACCCTGAGATCAGAATGTTGACTATAACTATTGCTCCAACAGCAATACCAGCCATTTCACCAACCTGCATAACAGATCAATTGATTTAATTCGATAATCACGTCAGCAAACTAGAGACTAGAAACTACCGTGTGAACGAACATACTGCGCGAGTATCGGTAGCAACGGCAGTGGCAACAAACAAGAGAATAAATTTGATGATAAACTCGGTTGCAAAAGCTTGTTCAATGCTAACGGTAGGGAGAGTAACGCCACCAGAGAGGAAAGGACGATAAATACATTTGAGAGCAAAAGCAGCGCAGATCGATGCAGAGACCTGAAATGCGGGGAACGCAATGGTGAGCGATGGATTGAGACGCGCGCCTGAGATATGACCAATTGAGAAAATAATCGCGCGCCTGAGATATGACCAATTGAGAAAATAATTGCCATGACTGTTAAACCTGTACAAGCTGCATTTCCTATAAGTGTTTCTATACCTTCGTATTTGTTGTTCACTATTGGTCCTGCTGTTGCTACATATATGAGTATGAATGTTCCTACAAACTCTGCTCCAACCTGTGAAAACAACTATATAAATTACTATCAATTTTCTGGAAATCTTTATTAATTCTCTCTAGGCACTCATTTCTCTCTTTCTTAATTTATAAAATGTAACATTAATCATAAATAATTTGATATGCAAATAAGATACATTAAAAATTATAGTAGATAATATTTATAAAATGTAATATCTTATTTATTTATTTTGTAGAGCTGAAAATTTTAGTCATTAAATTATTATATAAAAAAATAAAATTAGAGATATTACCTTCTGAGTTAGAAAGAAACTCGGAACTGGAACTGGAAATTGACTAAGGGTGGGATGAAGCTAGCAGTAGTGTCAACATCATGTGTAGGTTGCCTATTAGTTATAGGTTGGGTATTAGGCGTATCATGTATGTTGGGTATTAGGCGTATCATATTAGGCTGGGAAAATGTATTGTCAGCCTTATTTGTACGATGTAGTGTCAACATCATGTGTAAGTTGCCTATCAGTTATAGGTTGAGTATTAGGTGTATCATGTATGTTGGGTATTAGGCGTATCATATTAGGCTGGAAAAATGTATTGTCAGCCTTATTTGTATGATGTATAGCATCATCAAAGAAGGGAATGAGAGGTTGACTGGGGCCTGCTGTACCAGGTGATAAAGAAAATTCATTGGAAGATGTATTGGAGTCTATGGTAGGTATAGGTGATGGGATAGAAAGAGTGACAAATTGTTGTTTGTCATTGAACATAGGTGTAACAGGTGTACCATGTTTATGAGGAATAGACATCTCACAATTATCAACTGGGTTATGCATATTAGGTGGGTCATCAAAAATAGGATGATGTGCATTTTGAGAATTTTTTTCATTCCTGCCACATTTTTAGAAGTTTATTTTCAAAATGCCACAAGTTTCATCTAATATACCAAAATGCCATCAACTATCTACCCATTACTGAAACTACCACCATTCTCCCTAATTTACCCTTTCATTGATTTTTACTTAAGACTAGACCATGCTCTTTTTGGTAATTTACTAAATACAAAAACATTGACCAATAACATGGTCCAATTTTACCATGTAACAAAAGTTTTTTTAAAAACTCTTTTCTTCCCTCTTTCCCTCACCTTCTCCCTCTTTCCAATTTTCTTCCTCTCTCTTTCCCAGTTACTTTTTGTTTCTCTTTCCATAGATCTTCCATTTTCTCTCTACCCCCTTCTCTTTTCCTATCAAACCCTAACGGGTTCATCACTTTCATTGGTGCTACGCGACCGTCTCGACCGCAAAAGGTATGTTTTTCCCCTCTTCTATTGTTCTTTCTTTCATGTCCTCTTCTTCTTGTATTCATAGTAGATTTTGTTGAAAAAAAATTTGTTGTTATGTTCTTTGATTTTTGTAGTGTTTCATTGAAATAAGTGGCTTGGAAGGAATGGTTACACGATTGTGGAATTTGTTAGATGGTAGTGAGTGTTTGAAGTGATTTTTGACGGTTTGTGATTATGGATCGGGAAAGAAACAATGGAAGAATAGTTTCTAAGTTTCTGGTTTATGGTTTTTCTGGTTTCTGGTTTTCTGTTTTAACTTTTAACATAGCTTTAGCTTTGTACATTTTTTTTTGGATTTTAGGATTTTGATTTTTCTGATCTTTCTCTGTTCTGTCTTCTACAGAGAAATGTACAACACATAAACCATGGATGACCAACTTAATTATGCTGTTCATCCAAACATGACCTAAGTTTGCTCCTGTTTCTTTTTTCAGGAATATTGACGATGTCGACAAAACCATGGATGAGATAAATGAACAGACTGAGAACATGAAGCAGATTCAAGAAGCATTGTCAACTCCAATTGGTGCAGCAGCTGATTTTGATGAGGTAATTCTATCAAATATTTACTTATTTGTTATGTCGGTTGCAAACATGATATTTGTACCTTTTAATTGTTTATAGTGTTTTAGAGTGCTAATGCGTGTCCATGTCTCTGTTTGCGTTTCTTCAGTATGTGTTTGCTTTTGAACTGGGGTTGTAATTCTAACAATGAGGTGTTCTGAATTTATTGTCCTTTTCAGGATGAACTGGAAGCAGAACTTGAAGAATTGGAGAGTGCTGAGTTGGAAGAACAGATTCTTCAGCCAGCAACTACAGCTCCGACTTATATAAACATGCCAATTTTAGGTCCTTACCTGGTTTACGATTTAGGTGTAGATAGAGTTGTTGACCAGGATACTGTTGTTGCTGATAAGGTATATTATGAATTTTCTTTGTGTGAAAGTACGTATCGACTAGGTTGTAGAGTGACATGTCTTAACTATTAAGATTTTGTGAATAAACAATGGTCATAAATTGTGTAAGACACATTGGAGCTATTGCGAGTTCACGAGCTGCAGAAATATATGGCCTGGACATTCTTGCTGAAGGAAATCCAAGAACACTGAGGCCTCATAAGGTATATAAGTTGTATTCAAATACTTCTTACTTTTTGAATTTTTTGTCTGGTTCGGGATTTTTCTTATGCGAGATAAGAATACACGTGTTACTGAGTTTCCAAATGATGATTAATTTTCCAAAAAAACATATTGACTTCCCTATGAATTTATGTATACAAGATGAATTGTATTGAAGATTTGCAAAAGATATTTGACAGAGATACAATAACAACTTCTATTTAATGTGTCTTGGTGATGCGGTAGCTTGGCTGTTCATAATTCAAGATATTTTATGCATTGCTGAAGGATTCCTACTGTTATTGTTGATCCACATCCTAAAGGTCTAGACCGGGTGAGGCTCGTTACTTAGACTTTCAGCTATACTGTTCTATATATTTATCGTTATTTATGTATTGTTTCTAGCATATTGAATAAATAGTATTGTATTAGCTGCTAAAACTATGACCTGCTTTGATTAGCCTATAGTATTGTGAAACTAATGTTTTGATTAACCTGATCACATATTGAAATTGAATAACCAAGTTTGTTCTGATGCTATTAAGGGAGTTCCTCATCCTGCTGCTATTAAGGGAGTCCAGAGTAATTGCATTGGTTTTCACTTTGACAATGGACTGATAATCTTATATTTGGTGAAAACAGAACTGAATCAAATTGCACTTCCAGTGTACGATTAAACTAAATATCTGAAAGCTTATCAATGCTGGGTTATTTTGTTATTTTTTGTTACAAGCTCATTGATATCAACAACAATATGGTCTAGATGCAGTTTTACATAATGGCCTTTGTGCGACACTTTTGACAGTTCATGGAAACCTTCATCACAATCTTCTTCATTTATTGATTGGATGTAATGGGTTTATTTCAGGTGATTTTGGAAAACGTGCTATATGCATTGTCTCTGCAACTGGCACAATTTCAAATGTTACACTACGCCAATCGACTTCTTCAGGGAGTACTATAACATATGAGGTGAGTTCAATACTGCGTCTATCTGTTTAAAAAATGAAATAATGCATTCATTTGTTTCTCTATCAGATTGGAAAATATGTACCATAATATCCTTCATTTACATACAGCCCTTGCCCTGTTTTATTCTATGTATTGATTCTAGATATCTGGTTCCTTTATGCCAACTGATAATGGAATTACAAAAATCAGATCTGGTGGAATGAGCGTCTCTTTGGCAGGTCCGGATGGTCGAGTATTAGGTGGCGGGCTCGCCGGTTTGCTTATAGCTTCTGGTCCCGTGCAGGTAATCCTCAATAGTATGTTCGATAAACGGAAAGTGTTATAACCTGTTTCCAACACACTATCTTGTCCATGCATCAGGTTGTCGCGGGAAGTTTCCTTCCTAACCATCATCTAGAGGACAAAAGCAAGAAGCAGAGGATGGAACATAACATACCAACCATTACACATAATCACCCTCCTCCACATGTTAACCATCATCACAAGTCTAATGAAGTAAGTTTCGGCGGTGTGAAACCTATTATGACACCTGCTGCATTTCAAGAAGAGAAGATTGTTTCTTTTAACAACAACAACAACAACAACAATGTTCAAGACTCTAGGAATGATGACAGAGATCCTTTACCTGAAAAGGATTCTAATCATAGCCAATCAAATTCTTGAGCTGACTCAACCTCACACTATACTGATGCTCTCGAAATTAACTTGCAAAGACAGAATTGTGGTTGTCATCATCATGTGTCAAAAGTTGCAATGTTTAGTGGTAGGTGTTAGTTTCTATATTTTTGTTGTTGTTGTTGGAGATTTAAGGCGCAAAAAGGTATAGTTATGTAATTGGTTGGTTTCTATAAATATGTTTCTAAGGAATGTATATTTCTAAGGAATGGAGGAAGAGAAATAATTCAGATTTCTAGAGTTAGCAAGAAAGAGGTGGTAATGAAATTGAACAATTATAAGAAGATTCAGATTTTGAATCAATGTTGCATGATTTTGTTGTTGTTAAGGTTGGAATGGAATATAAGAAAATTCATGATGAAGGTTATGATCCAATTTAGATTTTGCAGAGATTGTAGGAAAGGAGAATGTTGTTATCCAATTTAGATTTTAGAGAGATTATAGGAAAAAAGAAAAGACAAATGTGGTTGAAGGTGGAGGAGAGAATTAATGGTTAGAAAGTGGATTTTCAACTTATGAAAATGGAGAAGAAGTGAGGAATGGTTAATATTAACATGTTATTTTAAGGATTATAAAAATGAGTTTGAAGTGTTATATATGCATCATGACTTGCTTTTGATTGCAACACACACAATTTCTCCATACTTCTATGCTTCTCAATGCTAACGGTAAGCCGTTTTTTATAATGTTTTAGCTAAGTATATAACTATACATTATATGCTCATATCATATACATTTTTTACTTGTAATTGCAGAGTTATGTGAACAAAATTGATTTTGATTACAAGGAATATGCAAGGCAAAGGTTTCAGCAATACCGGTTACAAAAATCTACATTATTGGACACACCAACCATTGTTTCACAAAATGAAACTGTAAATGGTTCTCTACCACTAACATCATGTGTGTGATGATTTCTTTTATGCCAAATTTCCATGGTTTAGTGAAGTTAATCTTAGTTTTTTTATGTATTGATTTCATAATAACTTCATAATAACTTTATGTATCTGTAAATAATATATTGTCACTAACAATTTGCAATAAGTTTTTGACAATTTTAACTTCAATCTGATCATCAACCTATCACTTGAGATTGATGAAAAAAAATTGAGAATGAATGTGTTTTAGTTTTCGTGTAATAGTTTACTACTTTAATTGCATTTAGATGCGAGAAACTGGTTTAGAAAAAAATAAAGTCTCGGATTCAAGTGTTAAATTTATCGTTTATGTCCGACTGTTCTCGGATTTTGTATTTTGTGACATTTATATTTACTTCAATAGTCTTGAACTATATGTAACATGATATAACAAAACAGATTATTCATTATAAGGTGCATTAATCATAAACAAACTAAACACATAAATTCATACACTCTATACTGCTTGAAACATGAGCAGTGAGGTGTATTAAGCAGTGTTGCAGGCTGATCTAGTGACAGAAGCTCCTAACCGATAGCGGCTGCTGTTCAGCTCCGGTGTTGTCGTCACGCAGCTTGACAAGCGTATAAGCTCCAGAACCAGCGAGCGCACCCAGCGTTGGCGCCACGAAGTATATCCAGATATCTTTGTAGTTTCCTGCTGCAATCGCTGGACCTAAGGTGCGAACCAGATTCATCGAACCACTACTCGTTGGCCTATCATTTGTTATATTATACTTAGAATCAAAATATTAAAACAAAGAATTCAAATCAGTTATGTCATAGAAATGGTTTCGTACCCTGAGATCAGAATGTTGACCATAACTATTGCTCCAACAGCAATACCAGCCATTTCACCAACCTGCATAACAGATCAATTGATTTAATTCGATAAGCACGAATCGCAAACTAGAGACTAGAAACTATCGTGTGAACGAACATACTGCGCGAGTATCGGTAGCAACGCCAGTGGCAACAAACAAGAGAATAAAAGTGATGATAAACTCAGTTGCAAAAGCTTGTCCAATGCTGACGCTAGGGAGAGTAACGCCACCAGAGAGGTAACGCCACCAGAGAGGAAAGGACGATAAATACTTTTGAGAGCAAAAGCAGCGCATATCGATGCAGAGACCTGTGCTGCAATGTAGGCAGGAACACGCGCCCACGGAAAATGGCGAAACGCGGCGAACGCAATGGTGAGCGATGGATTGAGATGCCCGCCTGAGATATGACCAATTGAGAAAATAATTGCCATGACTGTTAAACCTGCACAAGCTGCATTTCCTATAAGTGTTTCTATACCTTCGTATGTGTTGTTCACTATTGGTCCTGCTGTTGCTACATATATGAGTATGAATGTTCCTACAAACTCTGCTCCAACCTGTGAAAACAACTATATAAATTACTATCAATTTTCTGGAAATCTTTATTAATTCTCTATAGGCTCTCATTTCTCTATTTGAAGTATAAAATGTAACATTAATCATAAATAATTTGACACTATTTTAAGTATAAAATGTAACATTAATCATAAATAATTTGACACGCTAATAAGATGCATTAAAACTTATAGTAGATAATATTTATAAAATATAATATCTTATTTATTTATTTTGTAGAGCTGAAAATTTTAGTCATTAAATTTTTATATAAAAAAATAAAATTAGAGAGATATTACCTTCTGAGTTAGAGAGAAACTCGGAATTGGAACTGAAAATTGACTATTTATAAGAAGATTCAGAATTTGATGCTCTAGTAGATTGTCTTAAGGGTGGGATGAAGCTAGCAGTAGTGTGAACAGTGTAGGTTGCCTATCAGTTATAGGTTGGGTATTAGGCGTATCATGTATGTTGGGTATTAGGCGTATCATATTAGGCTGGGAAAATGTATTGTCAGCCTTATTTGTATGATGTAGTGTCAACATCATGTGTAGGTTGCCTATCAGTTATAGGTTGGGTATTAGGCGTATCATGTATGTTGGGTATTAGGCGTATCATATTAGGCTGGGAAAATGTATTGTCGGCCTTATTTGTACGATGTAGTATCAACAGAATTGATTTAATTGGATAATCACATCAGCAAACTAGAGACTAGAAACTATCGTGTGAACGAAAATACTGCACGAGTATCGGTAGCAACGGCAGTGGCAACAAACAAGAGAATAAAAGTGATGATAAACTCAGTTGCAAAAGCTTGTTCAATGCTAACGGTAGGGAGAGTAACGCCACCAGAGAGGAAAGGACGATAGATACATTTGAGAGCAAAAGCAGCGCAGATCGATGCAGAGACCTGGGCCGCAATATAGGCAGGAACATGCGCCCATGGAAAATGGCGAAACGTGGCGAACACAATGGTGAGCGATGGATTGAGATGCGCGCCTGACATATGACCAATTGAGAAAATAATTGCCATGACTGTTAAACCTGCACAAGCTGCATTTCCTACAAGTGTTTCTTTACCTTCGTATTTGTTGTTCACTATTGGTCCTGCTGTTGATACATATATGAGTATGAATGTTCCTACAAACTCTGCTCCAATCTATGAAAAGAAGAACTATACAGATTAGTATGAAAAGCATTTAGATGATATGAAAAGAGACAAAATTTTCTTTACTTTTAAAACAAAAATTTACATAGAGCTACGTTCAAACGAACATGTAATATTTTGTTTACTTATTTTATAGAGCTGAAAATTTTAGTCATTAAATTATTATATAAAAAAATTAGAGAGATATTCTCTTCTGAGTTAGAGAGAAACTTGGAACTGGAACTTTAGGCATACGCAGGTTGCATCTCGCCATTGCAAATGAATCATGTTCAAGAGAATCAATTCTCACCGATGAGAATAATGGCCCTCCCGCTCCCACTGTGTCCGGTGTCAACGGCAATCCAGTTGGTATTCCTCTATCTAATTCTGCCATTCTTTTTTGTTGTTGTTATTATTGTTGTTACTTTAATTGAATAAAAAAACTATTTAGTCTTATAGAATAGTGAATTTACCAACATAAGACTACATAAGTTTTCAAATGTAAGAAGAAATGATTTTTCTTTTGTGATTTTTTGTTGTTATTGGAGATTTAAGGCGCAAAAAGGTATAGTCATGTAATTGGTTGGTTTCTATAAATATGTTTCTAAGGAATGTATATTTCTAAGGAATGGAGGAAGAGAAGTAATTCAGATTTCTAGAGTTAGCAAGAAAGAGGTGGTAAGGAAATTGAGTAATTATAAGAAGATTCAGAATTTGATGCTCTAGTAGATTGTCTTAAGGGTGGGATGAAGCTAGCAGTAGTGTCAACATCATGTGTAGGTTGCGTATCAGTTATAGGTTGGGCAGTGGGTGTATGTTGGGTATTAGGCTGGGAAAATGTATTGTCAGCCTTATTTGTATGATGTATAGCAGCATCAGAGAAGGGAATGGGAGGTTGACTGGGGCCTGCTGTACCAGGTGATAAAGAAAATTCATTGGAAGATGTATTGGAGTACCAGGTGGTAAAGAAAGAGTGACAAATTGTTGTCTGTCATTGAGCATAGGTGTAACAGGTGTACCATGGTTATGAGGAATAGACATCTCAGAATTAGGCGGGTTATGCATATTAGGTGTACCAACTGGGTTATGCATATTAGGCGGGTCATCAAAAATAGGATGATGGTTTCTGGTCACCTAAGGTTCTTTGATCAGGTTTAAAGGGAAAAATGATTTCATAGAACACAATATTTCTGGATATAAAGATGTTGTGATTATGCATATCATAAAGGATATATCCCTTAGTTTTTTTTATGTACTGATTTCATAATAACTTCATAAATTCGCAGCGGCATCTGTATCTGTAAATAATATACTGTCACTAACAATTTGCATTAAGTTTTTGACAATTTTATCTTCAATCTGATCATCAACCTATCACTTTTGAGATTGATGATAAGAAATTGAGAATGAGTGTGTTTATGTTTTCTTGTAATAGTTTACTACTTTACTTGTATTTAGATGCGAGAAACTTGGTTCAGAAAAAATGAAGTCTCGGACTCAAGTGTTACATTTATCGTTTATGTCCGATTGTTCTCGAATTTTGTATTTTATAACATTTATATTTACTTCAATAGTCTTGGACTATATGTAACATGATATAAAAAAACAGATTATTCATTATAAGGCGCATTAATCATAAACAAACTAAACACACATAACTTCACACACTCTATACTGCTTGAAACACGAGCAGTGAGGTGTATTAAGCAGTGTTGCAGGCTGATCTAGTGACTGAAGCTCCTAACCGATAGCGGATGCTGTTCAGCTCCGGTGTTGTCGTCACGCAGCTTGACAAGCGTATAAGCTCCAGAACCAGCGAGCGCACCCAGCGTTGGCGCCACGAAGTATATCCAGATATCTTTGTAGTTTCCTGCTGCAACCGCTGGACCTAAGGTGCGAACCGGATTCATCGAACCACTACTCGTTGGCCTATCATTTGTTATATTATACTTAGAATCAAAATATTAAAATAAAGAATTCAAATCAGTTATGTCATAGAAATGGTTTCGTACCCTGAGATCAGAATGTTGACCATAACTATTGCTCCAACAGCAATACCAGCCATTTCGCCAACCTGCATAACAGATCAATTGATTTAATTCGATAAGCACGAACCGCAAACTAGAGACTAGAAACTATCGTGTGAACGAACATACTGCGCGAGTATCGGTAGCAACGCCAGTGGCAACAAACAAGAGAATAAAAGTGATGATAAACTCAGTTGCAAAAGCTTGTCCAATGCTGACGCTAGGGAGAGTAACGCCACCAGAGAGGAAAGGACGATAAATACTTTTGAGAGCAAAAGCAGCGCAGATCGATGCAGAGACCTGTGCTGCAATGTAGGCAGGAACATGCGCCCACGGAAAATGGCGAAACGCGGCGAACGCAATGGTAAGCGATGGATTGAGATGCGCGCCTGAGATATGACCAATTGAGAAAATAATTGCCATGGCTGTTAAACCTGCACAAGCTGCATTTCCTATAAGTGTTTCTATACCTTCGTATTTGTTGTTCACTATTGGTCCTGCTGTTGCTACATATATCAGTATGAATGTTCCTACAAACTCTGCTCCAACCTGTGAAAACAACTATATAAATTACTATCAATTTTCTGGAAATCTTTATTAATTCTCTCTAGGCTCTCATTTCTCTCTTTCTTAATTTATAAAATGTAACATTAATCATAAATAATTTGACACGCTAATAAGATACATTAGAACTTATAGTAGATAATATTTATGAAGTAATACTAATCATAAAAAAGTAACTTGGTATGCCAATAGGATACAATAAAATTAATTAATTTGATAAAAATTTGTATGACATTAATTTATTTGTATTTTGTTGAAATATCAAATAAATTCTACTCAACGTAAAAGTTCGATTGAATTGTAATTCTCTATGCCAAGACAGTATTTTGACAGAGTCTGTTCTCGTTGAAATGACGTGTGTCGAAATTGTATGAGTGTCGAAACGTTGAAGGAGTATACCTCGACAGGAATTTCGACTTAGGTATTTAGTAATCCTATTATGAATTGTAACACAACAGAAATGAAGTTGCAATAATATTTCGCAGTTAAGCATAGAGAAATTCTACAGAAAATCTTTTCTTCTTCTCCTATTTTGCTTAAACCCTAATTTCTTTCTTTTCCAAATTTAAACTTTTCTTTCTTCTTTCATTAACAATTGTGCAACAAGAATAATCTTGCAACCAAGGTTGGTTGATTCACTTGAGTGAAGAACAAGAAGAATTTGATTGGTGTGATTGAATCTTGTTTATCAAGATTGATTCGGAATTACTCAAAGTCTTGGGTTTAATTCCAACATCTGGTATCTAGAGTACTGACTGAGCAATTCGTTGGAAGCAAAACACGATGACAATGGCGATGAATAATTCGAATAGACATTTTCCGACGAGTCTCCTAATTTTGAAGGGTCAAAATTGTAAGAATTGATGTAAACAGATGAAAGTTGTTTTCTGTTGTCAAGATATTTGTTGTGAAGGAAGGAGTAACACCACTTGTAAAAAATGCGTGATAAAGAAAAAAGTTGCATACAAAGAACTGAAGAAGAAAGATTATAAAACTCTCTTTGTAATTGATCCAGACAATTAAAAAAAAGACCAGTGATATAGATACTTTAATGAATACCCTATACTCACTCGTATCAGTTTTAGTGAAAATAATTCATAAATTAGAAAAGTAATTTTTTTGAGCTGCTTATTAGAAAAGCATTAGATGATATGAAAAGAAACAAAATTTTCTTTACTTTTAAAACAAAAATTTACACGGACCTACATTCAAACCTTCGAACATGTAATATCTTATTTATTTATTTTGTAGAGCTGAAAATTTTAGTCATTAAATTATTATATAAAAAAATAAACTTAGAGAGATATTACCTTCTGAGTTAGAGAGAAACTCGGAACTGGAACTTTAGGCATACACAGAGTGCATCTTGGTATTGCAAATGAATCATGTTCAAGAGAATCAATTCTCACCGATGAGAATAATGGCCCTTCCGCTCCCCTTGTGTCCGGTGTCAACGGCAATCCCGTTGGTGTTCCTCTATCTAATTCTGCCATTCTTTTTTGATGTTGTTGTTATTATTGTTGTTACTTTAATTGAATAAAAAAACTATTTAGTATGATAGAATAGTGAATTTACCAACACAAGACTACATAAGTTTTCAAATGTAAGAAGAAATGATTTTTCTTTTGTGATTTTTTGTTGTTGTTGTTGGAGATTTAAGGTAAAGAAAAGTATAGTTATGTAATTGGTTGGTTTCTATAAATATGTTTCTAAGGAATGTATATTTCTAAGGAATGGAGGAAGAGAAATAATTCAGATTTATAGAGTTAGCAAGAAAGAGGTGGTAAGAAAATTGAACAATTATAAGAAGATTGAGATTTTGAATCAATGTTGCATGATTTTGTTGTTGTTAAGGTTGAAATGGAATATAAGAAAATTCATGATGAAGGTTATGATCCAATTTAGATTTTGCAGAGATTATAGGAAAGAAGAAGGTTGTTATCCAATTTAGATTTTAGAGAGAGTATAGGAAAAAAGAAAAGAAAAAATGTGGTTGAAGGTGGAGGAGAGAATTAATGGTTAGAAAGTGGATTTTCAACTTATGAAAATGGAGAAGAAGTGAGGAATGGTTAATATTAACATGTTATTTTAAGGATTATAAAAATGAGTTTGAAAAGTGTTATATATGCATCATGACTTGCTTTTGATTGCAATACACACAATTTCTCCATACTTTTATACTTCTCAATGCAATAAAAAAAAATAGATTGTATGATATTTATACACCCACATTGTTTTACAAACATTATGTTAGGATTTTCTACCTTTTATGAAATTATTAATTTATTTGATAAGAGTAATAATGCAGAACATCCAAATTTCCCATTTCACGTTAACTTTTCAAGTTTAAGTCAACATTATCCGAATGTGTTTCTTAGGTGAACATATTGAATTTATTTTATAGGGATACAAGATACAGATTGTCCTGCCATATAATATTTTTTCTCTTTAAAAAATGGTATTGTATGAAAGATTATCTTATTTGGTGCAAAATTTCAGGGTCCACAAGAATGATTTTACTTCGAAATCATGCGATCATCCTTTTAAATTGGTATTAATTTTTTTGTTCAGACATAATTTGTGTTGTGCATGAATTGGGTCCGATTAGGCTCAATATTAGATTTAAGGAAATTACATACAACTTTCACCTTGTAGAGTGTAGAGTAACATCACTTTTTACAAAATTTTACTTTTTAATTTTGACTTCTTCATTACATTATACATCATTATGTATTTTGCGTTATTTTCTTTTATATAAACATCTTGTATAAAATACTACAACATGAACATCCTTACACGTATTATATAGAAAATCAACCCTACAAAATTGGTTGGTAAGATGAAGATTGCTCCCACTTATAAAGACATGTTCATGCCATATATTATCTGATGTGGGACTTTTAATACACTCCCTCACGCTCAAGACTAGACAACTAGAGCGCGAAAATAAATGGTGGGTGACCCGATAACAGAAATCATAGAAGGTGACCCAGCGGATCTTAAACGAGGCTCTGGTACCATGTTAAGAAATTGTGGTTGAGCCTAACTTGGACAAAAATAGCAGACAAAGCTGGTGAATACAATAGTTTGGTAAATACATCTGCGAGTTGGAAAGTTGTTGATATAGGCAAAATATGAATGAGCTTTGATCGAATTTTCTAGCGCATGACATGACATTTAAGCTCTATATGCTTACTTCGCTCATGGAAAGTAGGATTATGAGCTAGGTATATCGCGGATTTGCTGTCACAAAACACAGATGCAGGTTGAGAAAAGTTGATTTAAAGGTCCTGAAAGATATACAGCAACCACTTGAGTTCACAAGTTAGGGAAGCTAGAGCATGATATTTAGCATCTGCTGAAGATCTGGATACCGTGCGTTGTTTCTTTGATTTCCAGCAAAGTAAGGATGATCCAAGAATAACACAATGACATGTGACAGATTTTCTAGTGTCTGGGCAACGAGCCCAATCTGAATCTGCAAAAGCATATAACTTAAACTCACTTGAAGCGGAGAATAATAATCCCTTAGCAGGTACTGACTTGAGGTATCGAAGAAGTTTCATAGCAGCTTGGTAATGAGGCATTAGGAGACAAGATACAAATTGACTTAAATGCTGATCAGCATAAGCAATGTCGGGTCTCGAATTTGTCAAGTAAATAAGCCTGCCTATTAGTCTTCTATAGGATGATGGATCTTGTAATGGTTGTCCACCATTAACTGACAGTTTTATGTTAGGATCAAAAGGGACCGATGAAGGCTCAGAAGCAAGTAGACTACTTTCTTCTAAAAGATCAAGTGTGTAATTCCTTTGATTAAAGAAAATACTTATTTTGGACCTGGCTATCTCAAAACCAAGGAAGAATCTTAGCTGACCAAGATTTTTAATCTTAAATTTGTGATACAGTTGTTGCTTAACAAACAGAATCTCGTCCATGGAATCACCTGCCAAAACTATGTCATCTACATAAACCAATAATGCAGTAAAAACACGAGGAGAAACCTTAACATATAGAGAGTGATCAACTTGCGATTGAGAGTATCCTATGGAAACAAGAAAAGATGAATGTTTGGAATACCACTGTCTACTTGTTTGCTTTAAACCGTATAGAGATTTGTGTAACTTTCACACCTTAGAGGGAGAAGAATCAGGCATACCAAGTGGTAAAAGCATGTAGACCTCTTCATGTAAATCACCATGCAAAAAGGCATTGTTTACATCCAGTTGTTCCAAGTTCCAACCTTTTATGGAAGCAATAGACAAGAGAACCCTGACTGTTGTGATTTTAGCAACAGGAGAGAAAGTATCAAAATAGTCAATCCCCTCCATGAGTGTACCCTTTTGCAACCAACCTGACTTTATGTCTCTCAATGGATCCATCTGCCCTATATTTGATCTTGTATACCCATCTACAATCAATGGAATGTTTACCATAAGGCAAGTCAACTACATGGCAAGTCAACTGCATCTCAAGTGTAATTTTCTGCAAGAGCTGTTAACTCAACATTCATAGCATTTTTCCAGCAGTCCATTTTGTTGACTTGGTTGAAGGTTTTTGGTTCAATGTTTGAGGATATGGAACAACAAAAGTGTTTATAAGAAGGAGCACATTTATCATATGTAAAAACAAAAGACAGAGGATATAGAGTATTATGCTCAAGAGAATGCAAAGAATTAGAAATATTATAGGCATAATAACAATGGTAATTAGCCAAATAACTTTAGGGGATTACATGTTCTAGTAGATTGTCTTAAAGGTGGGATGAAGCTAGCAGTAGTGTCAACATCATGTGTAAGTTATGTATCAGTTATAGGTTGGGCAGCGGGTGTATGTTGGGTATTAGGTTGGAAAAATGTATTGTTAGCCTTACCTGTATGATGTATAGCAGCATCATAGAAGGGCCTGGGAGGTTGATTGGGGCCTGCTGTACCAGGTGATAAAGAAAAGTTATTGGGAGATATATTGGAGTCTATGGTAGGTATAGGTGATGGGATAAGAAGAGTGACAAATTGTTGACTGTCATTGGGCCCAGGTGTAACAGGTGTACCATGATTATGAGGAATAGACATCTCAGAATTGCCAACTGGGATATGCATATTAGGTGGGTCATCAAAAATAGGATGATGTGCATTTTGAAGAGGTTTCTGGTTACCTAAGGTATTTTGGTCAGGTTTAAAGGGAAAAGTGTTTTCATAGAACACAATATTTTTGGATATAAAGATGTTGTGATTATTCATCTCATAAAGGATATATCCCTTTCTTCCATATTTGTATCCAAGAAAAGTAGATTTGCGGGCTCTAGGTTCAAATTTTGTTCTGTGAGCATTTAGGGTGTTGGCAAATCCTAGGCAACCAAAAACTTTCAAATGAATCATAGAAGGGGGTTCTGAAAATAACATTTCATGAGGAATTTTGAGTTTGAGCAAGGGAGTGGGAAGTCTATTGATCAAGTGTATGGCATGTTGGACACAAAAGTTCCACATGGTTAAAGGGACATGAGAATGAAAATAAAAACTTCTGGCCACATTAAGAATATGTTGGTGTTTTCTCTCAACCACCCCACTTTGTTGGGGTGTCTCAATATAAGATTTTTGGTGTAAAATTCCCTTAGATGAAAAGAATTTGGATAAGGCAACAAATTATGTGTCATTATTAGATCTTAGACACTTTAACGACTTTTCAAATTGGTTTTTAGCATATGCTACAAATTGAACAATGTTATCTCTAACTTGATCTTTGGTTTTAAGAAAAATAACCCAAGTATATCTAATATGGTCATCAACGAGTGTAAGGAAGTCCTTGTGTCCTAATAAAGATATGGTAGAGAAGGGACCCCACACATCAGCATGTAAAATAGAAAAAGACACAAAAGATTCAGTAGTACTAAGAGGGAAATGCAATTTTCTTTGCCTGCCAAAATGGCAAGGTTCACAAGGAACATTATTGTTCTTACAAAAAATGAATGGAAAAAATTTAGAAATATTTTTCAAACCAATATCATAAATGTGGCCTAAACGTAAATGCCAAAGATTACAATTGTCATTAGCAATGGAACTGTAAATGGAAGATTGAAGAATGGATGAAAGAACATACAACCCTCTTTCTAACTTAGTTGTACCAATCATTTCCTTGGAATGATTCTGCAGAATTTGACAAGTATCAACATTGAAATGCACAAAACAATGACTTCCACTAACAAGTTTAGCTATGAAAATCAAACTAACATGGAAATTGGGAACGTACAACACATGATACAATGTCAAAGATGGTGAGACAATAACACTGCCAGACATGGATGCAATGTTATGTGATCCATCAAGTAAGTTGACATGAACAGGTATAATAGTCTTGGTACAAATAAAAATAGTTTTGTCAAATGAGATATGATTTGTGGCACCAGTATCAAGGATCCATAGATTGGGATTCTTACCATTAAGGTTGGAGGAGTGAGAATCCATGGCAAAGGGGGGAGTGGAAATGGAATTGGCTT